ACGTGTGACATGTCATGATTACCTTTTATTCCAGAAGTTTGGTCCTTAAGGGGTTAAAGTGCCTCTTTAACTAAGACAGACAACCCAAGCATAGCTTAACTTTCTTTAAATCATATTTAGAATTTTGAGTGAGAGGGAAGAGTGCAACACTTTGCTTAACAAAATCCATAGATCCTCTCAAAGTCACACATATGTAAATAATACAGTAATACCGGGAGGTCGAATCTTAGTGCTTAAAGGGAAACTATCACATCCCAAGGTTTTAATATAATGTTTATCTATCTCCTATACTTACACCAATGTATTTACCTGAATCCTGGAACTGATTAGCTCCATCTTGGCTCCCTGTGAATCATTAGTATGAGCTTTGCTATATGCACATGTTGGGTAGCATAGAGAGAGCACAGTGTGAGGTGGAGAAACAGAAATATTGCTTCTGTTCTCTTCTTCAAATGCAATATGTGCCCTGGCTGTGACAGTATTGAAATGGATTGTGATTTCAATTGCAATTGATAAAGTGCTAACATTTAATGTTTAATAAGAGATCATAACATTGGAAAATAAATCTCTATAAACTATGGACACTATAGGTGATTTTCAATCTTTTTTTCCTATTGTGTAATTTGCAGAGAAGTGACAATTCCCCTTTAAAATGATTATTAAAGTGCAGAGTTCATATGAAAGGGACACTGTAACTGCTTCATATCATTAATGTGGTTGGTTACAGTGTCTGGAGTAACCCCGACGCCATCCTACCATTCAGAGTAAAACCATTTTTAATGTTAAACAACTCACTCTGTGCTGTGTGGGCCAACGAGGAAGCATTAGTCTGAACAGCAATGATTGGCTGAGAGTGGCAACTGACCGCAACCAGCCTATCGCTGCACCAATTGCAGGTATGAAACATTTTGGCTACAAGGCTACAAGGAAGTGTGCAATCTCTGCCTCAGCCACACATCCAGTGGAGGCCGGCCTGTCTGGGCAGGTATCCTAATCTAGTGTTAAACTGCTTTAAAACACTAACACTGAATGGAGGGACTGTCCCACTATAGTGAATAACCCTAAGAGAGTGTATTCAAGTAACACGTACTCATCCTTAAACACCACAAATTACCTCCCAGCAGATCAGACTCATCTATTCAGATCACTAAATATTTGGATTTATCTGTAAAATCACTGCGGAGAATTGACAAGGGAACTGTTTATTTTTCAGGAGATTATTGTCAGTATTTCAGCTTGATTACTTTGGAATTAAATGTGTAATTCTCTTGTGAATTGTTCACAATAATTGGTTTACTGAATACATCCAAATATGTACAAGTGCAACTGTATTTTGCCTAAAGGTGAAAGGGTTCATGCAGTACCAGACTGTATCTATGAACCCATAAGAAGATAAACTGAAGGTTGGCATAAATATAGGGACCTGTTGGCATTTATTGTATCGATTGCCTACGTGGATTGAATCAGTCTGATGATGAGAGCCTTTTTAAGACCTTTGCTGGCACTAACTAAAGTATAAGCTAACTGGTTTATGCTTGGTCCTAGTTTTAGGATTATAGCAAGCAAGCATCACCTCTACAGCCTTATGTAGTGGTTATGGTGCCAAGGTCCCATTGCCTGGGTCCCCACATGGCTCCAATGCTCCTGGTGGTTTGTTATTGCAATTCTAGCTTTGGCTTGGTGATTGTAAAAAAAAATTAAATACAAGCAGCGTAATGCCACTCTATGGTCTCTGTTATTAGAAATGGATAAGAAATAGGCTCTGGGTTACCCCTTCATGTGCCTAATCTCCTTTTTTCAGCTTTACCTGACACTTTTAATTAAATGTTAATTCAGAGTTAAATGAATTGTATACATCATAAATTGAATATAAATTACATAGTATGATAGGTATAAATAATAAGTAACTGTGACAAAACTAAGCGTTAATAAAACATATAAAGATAATTCAGAAATAGTATTGAAAACAACCATGCTTGCACATTCTAAACAAAACTATTTAGACAGAGACCATAATTATATACTAAATTATGAAATACATCACCTATATATTACTGAAATCAAGTGATTGAGATCCATCCGCTGTTAATATTTTATTTACCTATTCACTTGCAGTGATGCAATAAAACTGCATCAGATGTTACACTAATTAAGATTAAATTGATTAGAAATTATGTTAATTAAAAGAAGCACCTGCAAAACCTAATACAATAAAACCATGAGATGGGTGTAGGGATGAGTAAATGCTTTATTATAAAAACACCATCCAACTAGCTTTAGCTAATGTTTATCATTCATTAGTTTAAAACAAATATCGTTGACGTGTGTGTTTTCACAATGTAAAATAACGTCAGTGAAATTCCAACACAGTCAATATGTCTATTTCAAAAGGATTTTAAATTATAAAATACTCTTTTTGCAAGAGGGGGTGACAGTGCCATTTTAAAGGGACACTATATTCACCAAAACCACAACAGCTTAATTTAGTGATTCTGGGGTCTCTAGCATGTCCCTGCAGCTAGAGACAAGGCAGTGTTTACATTGCTGCCTAGTAACACCTTTAGTGGCAGTCACTCAGACGGCTGCCAGAGGTGCAGTGCTGCACAGTGTACGTTCAATGTCTGCATGGAGACTCTAAACGCTCCCCATAGATATGCATTGATTTAATTACTGGTGCAGTGTGTTGCTTTGCTGCGCATGCGCAATAGCCTCCCAATGCTTTCCTATGTGAAGGCATTGCATAGGCTGAGATCATCAAGACTGATGATTTCAACCATGGAGGCGGGGAAAGCTACAGCAATGCAGAAAAGGTACGTTTAAATACCATTTTACGTCACATAGAAGGGGTTCAGCCATCTAAACAGCAACTCCAGCACTATAGTGTTAGGAATACATGTTTGTTTTCCTAACACTATAAGTGTTCCTTTAAGGCCAGAGTACCCAAACTGAAAGCAAGGCTGACAGAGAATTTTCCAGATCGGCTATTTTGACCTTAAATTTGGAATTCACTTTGATTTTTCACTTTAGTAAAGAAATCTGTGAGTGGCCATAGCTTCCTGATCCTGATAATTAACTTCAAAACTGTAGAATTTTTAGAGGATATGCTAAGAACCATTAACGAGGAAGCAACTGTTAAATGAAAATGTGTGAAAAACAATGGTCAGTTAGACAGGACAAACTACAAGGTTAGGCAACCTTTGGCACTCGAGATGTTGTGGGCCACATCTCTGCTGATGATCTCCCAGCATTATGACTGTAGGAGCATTTTGGTAGATGTAGTCCACAACATCTGGAGTGCCGAAAGTTGCCTAACCTTGAACTTCAACATTCCAATCCCCTTAATAAAACTAAACTATCCCCTTTTAACCATAACACTACAAATTAAGGATTATTCACTAAATACCAAATTACAGTGATTTAAAAAACTGAACTGCAACATTTAGGCAAAAATCCCTGATTTAATCTGAACTCAACTATTGTCACAGCGTGTCCATTTTAGCTCAAGTATTAGAATTCAGTTTTGCTACAATTTAGCTTTCATTTTGCTACAATTTACAACTTGTAGTGTTCAATCACTACGGAATTCTAAACTGTTAATGTTTAGACATGGCGTTAGGTTGGTTGGATGTGCATAGCAAAGGTAAAATTCCAACCTCAACCAAATCACCACTTAACATATTTTTTATAAGACAAAATGTATAAAAAATGTAAGCAATGCTTATATCTACTTCTGAAACCATACAAATGTGTGTATTTATGAATAAACATGGATTCCATAAAAATATTTGAAATATCTCCTTCTTCTTTTGTAAGCCACAATGCTTACACTTCAATTCTACTAATTAAATAAGCCATATTGCTGCTACAGCTACTCAACAGAATTATAATGCATTATAAAATCCATCTATGTTGTCTTTAAAATATTTCAATGTCTCCTTTAAAAAAAATAGCATCAAGCTGAGCTAGACTTGAAAGACTTGCTAGGGAAACGTTTACAGCCAGATAAAAGACAATACAACAGTGAAATATTTGTACATAAATCCTGCTAGACTACTCTAATACCTTAACAGCTCAGAAAAATAATTTCATGTCAGGGATAAAGGCCAGACCAGGCCAACTTGATCGCCAGTGACCTTTGACTTTTCCAACCAAGTCATGTTACTGATTCAATACAGAAGTTCCTGTGTCAATGATCATACTATAGGGCATTAATAGAAGAATGAACATTAACTTCATACACTGTCTTTGGCGGGAGTTAGAAAAATTACAATAATTCGTACCATCTTCCTTTCCCTTTCTTAAATCACGGTTCTTCCATTCAATTTTGCCCCTGGAAAGCTGGCCTCTGTTACGGCTCCTAAGGGCTTGCTCATATTTCTACTGACCTCACTCATCTGCAAGAAACAACATGCAGAGATTTCTACATAATCACCACCATTGTAAAGCAGATTCATGACAGACCATTCGTCAAAAAAAGAACAAACAGTGCAACTGCTTTTTTCTAGATTTTCCCAGAATTTAGTGATGCTAAAGGGGTGTTTAACAGTTTTTTAAGCTGTTATTAAGAAAATTCTGTTCACCAAATATATTCCAGCAATGCATAATTCTTAGGCATGGATACTAGAAAGATCATAATTTCAGTAAATTTTCACAATGCAAACCAATCATAAATAGAGATTAGATGCTTGCAGAACAATATTTCACATTTCCTTTGTGTTGTAAATATGCATTTTAAAAGACATACAAACACAAACGTTTATATATGCCTGCATATGTAAACATGCGTGCATATTTATATATGTATGTGTGTAAATTAATGTGGTAATTATTTTCTCCAGCAATCCCAGAGTAAAAGGCCTTATTAGTGTGCAGGGTTCCGTTAAAAACTAAAACAAAAAAACAACTTGTCATGTTTAGTCCAAAGTAATGAATCACCCAATCCAAAATGGCATAAACATTAGCACCCAATGAAAGTCTTCTTTTGTTGGTCTTGGGATCACTTAGGTTCTTTGTGAAGGCCTCATCCAGTGTATCAGAGAGATATCAATGACTCTTTCAACAACAATGTCCTCCACTACATCTATATCCTAAAATACAAACAATATCATGTTAGCAATCAAGGGTACATGATGAATCTGTGAATCCTTCCTAAAGAGAGTTAAAGACAATACCTTTTTATCTGAGCGTATAGCTAAAAGGCAAGCAATGATTTTCACTGATATATTAGTTTTGGAGTTCAGACTCCTACAGAATATTTAATTTGTGTTCTACATTACTTAAATTATTATGGTAAAGGGTACTCCAACCCTATTTCCTTTAAGATTTAATTTTAACTATATGTGCCCTATTGGGCACTTTACTTCAAGTCCCCCTTTAAAAAACCCCTCCCCAAAAAAAAACCAGAACTAAAAGGTTTGAAATTTAGCAGGAATAGAGCTCTGAACCAAGTCCTCCACGGTCGTGTCCCTGTCTCCTCTGATGTCACACCGTCTTCTTTACATTCATGGTCCAATGAAACGCTTCTCCCAGAAGCATTGTTGGACCACTGAATACTACAATTTGCATGCATAAACCATCAGATGAGTTGAGTGACAGCCTGTCCTATTTCCAATCGCTGAAGAGGGAAGGAAGGGGAATGTACAAAGAGTGGTGGACAAGGTTGGAGAGAAGTTGAGCTTTTACTTGTAGGTACGCTCACAGCACGCCTGCAAGTGAAGAATCTAATTACATTCGCTGCTAGCGTGTTGACAACGGATATAATTTTTTTACAAAATTGACCATGGGCAGTCCAGAACATGTGCTTAAATGCTGGGCATACAGATGGCTACTACCATGACCATATGCTGAAATGCTGCACATACAGATTGCTACTACCATGACCACTTCAAAAAGCAAAACTGGCTATGGTGGTTGAAGTAACCCTTTAATATTGGATGTGGATATATCTAACAACCATGATCCTGACCTGTTTTCATTCTGATTGTGTCCATTCCACTCTGTAAACCTTCTGTACAATTGTTCTATCGGTACACTGTGATTACTATTAAAATTATTGGCAATGCATTATTTAACAATGCATGTATATATGCTGTATTTAAAAAAAATGAAACAATCTTTATTATTTGTGACTGTTACAGAAAAATATCATTGCCAGAATATTCTCAAATAAGCAAGCAACTAATATCTACCTATGGACATTTAATTATGACAAGGCAGCCATAAGTTGGTGCATTTATTTGAATGATCACATAAGGTGGCCGTTTATGCCTACATGCTGTATATCTGCTCAAGCTTGATCTGCCACTGCTGAAAGGTGGGCAAACATCACTGCCTTCGCAACCTAAGGATAAGGGCTTTTTGTAGCAAAATTGCATTTAAATATTGGGACAGAATACAAAGGGAAATACATAGTCCCAGGCTAAAATGATAAGCTCAGGACTAAGAGAAATGTTATCCAATCACTTTGTATATTACCCCAACTACATTCCCACGGATGCACGCTATGCCAATTAATCAAGTGTATGCGGTGTGCTTGATAGAGATCAGACTTCCTAATTTATTTATTATATAATTTACAGAGTAGAGAGGGCATTTATGTTAAAAAAAATACTTTTGTTGTTTTATGAATGATGTAACTATATATAAATGCTATTAGCTATAGTTTGTGTTGACATACATGAGGAATGTGCAAATGAGATGGCTTGCACACCAGACGCCAACAGCCTGCTAACCCGAAGGATTATCCGAAACTCAGTGATGCCTAAGCCCGAAAGGATGCGTTCCAAGGACTCCTGGGCCTGTTTAATGTACTCTCTCTAACGTACTCTCTAAAAACGCTTCAACATTTATTTTTATTTCTAGCAAGAGCCCTGACATCGCCTAACGTATTTAACTGCCCTCACAGGTTTTACTATTAGCACCGTGGGGTATAAGGGTCTCAGAGGCATATACATCGCAGACCCTCGCTACTAGATTTCAGCGTATTTAAACCCTTTCTAATGAACAATAGATTAGCTTGCATTTCAACACTCAGCAATTAAATAATCATAACGCACTAGCTTGTTATAACAATTAATACACTGTTTTTGTACCAATTGTTTTGATACAAATGATGCCTCAGTAATACTCTAATAATTTCACACTATAGTTATGGGCAGACTGTTACTCATCTTAACTAGCAATGGTTAAAGGACCACTCTAGGCACCCAGACCACTTCTGCTTAATGAAGTGGTCTGGGTGCCAGGTCCAGCTAGGGTTAACAACAGAGAAACTGCTATGTTTATGAATGGGTTAAGCCTTCCCCCAAAGCCTCTAGTAGCTGTCTCATTGACAGCCGCTAGAGGCGCTTGCGTGCTTCTCACTGTGAAAATCACAGTGAGAGCACGCAAGCGTCCATAGGAAAGCATTGTAAATGCTTTCCTATGTGACCGGCTGAATGCGCGCACAGCTCCCCGCCCAGCTCCCCGCCAAGCGCAGGAAAAAGGTAAGTTTTACCCCTTTTCCCCTTTACAGAGCCAGACGGGAGGGGGTCCCTGAGGGTGGGGGCACCCTCAGGGCACTATAGTGCCAGGAAAACAAGTATGTTTTCCTGGCAGTCCTTTAACTCTTGTTATACTAACCCCATAAAAAGTGCATGTATTATCTGAATGTCCCAAATATGTTTAAATGCATGGTATGCTCTCTGCTCGTCAATTGCTTTTGGGGCATGACAAGCGTATATGTAATGATGATATGCACAGCAAAAAAAAAAAAAAAAATATATATATATATATATATATATATATATAAAAAAAATATAGGATATAGATTTCTCCATATACAGAGTGTCACTTTGCTTAAAGGTAAAAACAAACAGAAAACATGGCAAAAACAAACACTGACTAATAAATGCTGAAGACACACTCACACTTTATAGAGCCACTGAGAGCTCTAACAACAACGGAGACTGTATAATCCCTATGTCAGGATGTTGTCCACCACAGCCAATACACGCCTGTGATGGATAACATCCCGAGACAGGGATTATAACATAACTATTCATAAAAATAAGATACACAAACATTATGAAGTGTACTCACTATGTAGTTTTCATAGTATGTAGCGTGCCTGTTATGGAGATGCTTCAGAAAGCTCCTCCTGTAGCTTATATCTCCTCCTGGCATCAGGTGACAAATCGGACACGCCTGAAATATTGCAAATAATAATCTAGTTATTGAATTAGTAGATCTCACAGCAAAACATGAATTAGAATTGTATGTCTGTATACATGAAGTAGGAGATACCCCAGATACATAGTGTACATAACTGACCTCAATTATGTTTAAAAAATCGTTCATTTTTTCTTTTACAATATGTTTAAAAACGACCTCAAACCACCAAAAGCAAGTTTTAACGTAAATAATTCCTCCCAATATTGGGAGATATGAATGTGGGATGAGGTGAGCCAGAGACACTTAAAGAGATGGGATGGACCTACGTGAGAATGAACCATGCATGACAGACTGACCAGCAACTTGGAGTTAGAGAAGCCCAACTCAGGACAGCCCACAATGCACTGCTGCAGCTCTTTTGTATGGGCTGGATGCTCTGACTTACATTTGCCCGGAAAGAAAGAGTATAATTATGTGTTCATATATTAGGGTCTTGTCTCTGGTGTCTCAAGACAAACAAGAGACAAACCAGGCAAATTAAGACTGTTCCTCAGAAACTGTGACACTTCGGAAGTGTGCTTAAATTAACTAGGTAAAAAAGGTTTATTTATGTGTTATTTAACGATGCAACTATATAATAATTACATATTATATAGTAAAAAGGCACTAAAGAGTGAGATAGATAGATTAGATACATATATATATATATATAGAGAGAGAACGAAAAGTGTTTAACCACAAAAATGACATTGAGATGATTGCTGTTCCTTAAAAGTTTAGGAATGTTTATTTCAATGTTATATTATTTGTTGCCTTCGATTTTATAATATGGGTTAATGAGTACCCTTTTATTCAGAGCAATAAACAGTCATCGTCACGTAGGATTCTGTCACGGGACAAGGATGACAATTTTCTTTTTCAGCTAACAACTATACTCATTTTTGGGTTACACTGAAGAGACAAAGGATCCATTATGACAGTGTATCAGTTAACAAATATGCCCAGAGGCATTGTGAATGAAAGTATAGAGGTTATTAGTGATATTACTAATCATGCAACCTCAAAGGATTTAGCATGCATGCAGTTGAATGTTAACACTGTCCATGCAAACAGAAGTGTTCAACACTGGGAATAATTATAGATATAGCTTTCAAAAACTCCCACTGATAACCTATCACCAAACACAGTTATTTGTGGATTATCAGTAAAAGGCATGATGCAGCAGAAGGTACTTGCCACTGGTGTGGTTTCTCGGCCGTGGTTAGTAAAGCAGTGTTCTACAAGGCCATCTACATCTAGCTCCACGTGACAAAACGGACATGGATACACATCATCTCTAAAATAGACAGACAGATTTACTATTTGGCTTAATGGTTTGAGAGGACAATAATTTCTTTGAAAATACAAAATTCTATCCTTTCAATAACATCTTCAAAGACTACCTGTCATCTGAACAATAGGGTATAATACAGATGGCAAGGTAATATTCAGGCAGGTATAACATCTTGAATAGTACAAGGTATTAAAATAATCAGCCAAATGTACAGACTGCAAAATATGTTTACTTAAATTTTGCTTCTACATCTATTATTGATGCCACAACAGAACAGTTTGTGGGATGCATCGTACAGGATTTTCGGGTGGGTGGATGGATGCCCCATGTCTGCTGTGGCAGCTCTATTTATAATTCAAATTAAATAATTTTGAATCTACATATTTGCTAACAGTTTCGCTATAACAATCTATAGATTACATGTCATTCTCCTAATGTGACGTACTGCCATTTATGAATGACAGGCTTTAAAACATGAAAAAAAATGACTGGTTTTGTAAACTTTGGATTTACAGGGAAGTACAAAACAAATGTTATGTCAAATCAGATTTTGATATTTTCCATTATTTTTGAACATCTGATGTTATTATTGAAGTGTTGGAAATGAGTAGTGTTCTATATTATATTAGACTCTTATTATAAAAGTAAAATAGAATAGTAATTAATCTTTTAAGTTAAGTGAGAGGCAACTTCAATGTCCGTCCAGCTGCTAATTCAAATAATTTTCCATCTTATATCACACCGCAGATATATTTGGGCAGTGGAATAATAATTATTCTAGATTTTACAAGAAGGAGAAATTGAGAAGCCAACTTCACAATGGACACAAGACTAATTGCAAATTGTATTAATTGTGGATGAGCTGTGCTACACTTTGCAAGCTGACTAAATACATATCCCAAACTTATCACGAATTTGATATTTCTTTGCAAGTTAATGTATGAAAATCCTTATACACATTTTAAAATAGAACAAGCAGAGAGACTGTACTCATACTTGTATTGCTTTTTCTCGATATCCTCGAGGGGGCCGTATTTCATTATGTATGGCTCACATATATTTAAATGTGCTCTCATGTCACTCAAGCAAACCTATAAAATAAAGTAAAACAATGTAAATTTTCCAACATACATAATACTATTCCCTTTTTAAATAATTCAATATTTAATTCATACAAACATATGTTAATACCATAATATTCTGATATCTAGCTAAAATGTAGCATCAAGCTTTGCCGTGCTCAGATTACAAGGATTTTGGTAATTTTGACTGAAATAACTTACAGTAAAAAACGTACCATTTTACAAAACTGAGATTTTGGAAATAAAAAAGTACAATGTTAAAGGAACACCCCAAGCACCATAACCACTACAATGTTCTGCACTGGTTATGGTGCTAGGAGTGCATTGGTGTCTTCCCCTCTATGTAATGGTTTGAATTCTCATCTGGGGTTTCCTCCCTGCCTCTCTGCATATTTAAGCTTTCTGCCTGAGAGATTGATTCCAGCTCTCCATTCTGGAAAGGTGAGTAGAAGGGACCAATGCTAGATGGACCCCAGGTAAGAAGTCAAAACATTATCAAACAGTTTGTCTACTTTCACTACTTAGGTGCTTAGGTGTCAGACCACTCCTGGCACCCATACACTGTGTTTTTTACAAAAACTTTTTAAAAATATCGTGACATTGTCATTTGTGAATTGAACACAGCTTCCCTCAACTCTGAGAGTCAGCAATTCAAAGGGATTTGCAAAAACAGCAATGTTTTTGTAAGTGACACATGTCCAATATTTTAAAAGATCACTATAGGGTCAGGAACACAAACATGTATTCCTGACCCTGTAGTGTTAAAACCACCATCTAGCCCCCCTGGGCCCCTCATGCCTCCATAAATATTGTAAAAATCTTACTGTATTCAAGCCTGAAGCTATAAATCTGAATGCTGTTAGACTCAGAAAAACAAGCAGTCTGCTGACATGTGGTAGCCTGATCCAATCACAGTGCTTACCCATAGGATTGCATGATTCAAACACAGCCCTGGCCAATCAGCATCTCCTCATATAGATGAATTGAATCAATGAATCTCTATGAGGAAGGTTCAGTGTCTGCATGCAGAGGGAGGAGATACTGAATCACATGATGCTGTGCACAGTGCTGCCCGGTGCTTTGCTGACAGCAGATCTGAGTGGATGGAGGCATATTATGCCTCCATCAACTCCGAAGTCCCTCCGAAGTTCCTCTGGTTCACTCTGAGTGACTGCAACTGGAGGTGTTCCTAGCTTTCCTAGCTTTCAATGTAAACACTGTATTTTCTCAGAAAAAATACAGTGTTTACATGAAAAAGGCTGCAGGGAGCTATAGTTCTCACTTGAACAACCTCATAAAGCTGAAGTTGTTCAGGTGACTATAGTGTCCCTTTAATTTTTTTCAATAAACAAGTGCCATGACAAGACTTCTTTTCAGATTTATATAATGGTGCTTTTATTGCAACTGAACGTTTATTCACTAAACAGCATGTTGTGTCAATTAAAAATAAATTGTAACATTTAGGAAATAGCAAAGCTAAGAATTTTTTCTTCAAATTTTACTTTTGTTACCTATATTTTGCAATGTTGTTTTAAATTTGCTATTTTGTAGTGTTTAGAGGATAAAGTTTAAATGGCAAACTCTTGCCCTGATTTAGCCATATATACTATTCTCACTTCTTATTGAATATCTAGTCAACAAACCATTTATATGTTTACATAATTTTTTCATCTCCTTACCATTTTATCACACTCCTCACAGTTTTGAAATACAGTTTTCATCTTCTTAATTATATCAACTGCAGGTGTTCCTTCTGAAACAAGCTGAGTCCGGCAGTATGGGCATGAATATGTGCTTGCCCTCAAGCTGGCTTTAATACAAACATAGCAAAATCTATAAAAACAAAAATATAAAAAAAGAATAATTAATTGTGATATAATTTAACATATGCAAATATGTGACTATAAAACATATATAAAACTATAAAACTGAGCTAAACCTCCAATTAGCACAGCCATGAGCATGGTACTGTTTAATTTTATAGTGAATTTACTCTTGTATCCTCAGAAAAAATTCACCCAGCAGAATTTTACAGGGCCCAAAATCATGACTGTCCTGTCAGACGCAAGACAGTTGATTTGTATGGCTGCTATGAATTAATATGACAAATTACTGGGCCTCCACAGCATATACCATAGATTAATATCAGTAATTATCCCATTGCTATTGGAGACCAGGGATTTGCTCAGTGATCCCAGTCAGTTTTTTGTTCAGTTTGAAGGATCATTGAAATATCTCATATGTTTCAAAATAAGAACATCTATTATCATTATTAAGGAGCACTATATGGTCAGGAACACAAACATGTATTCCTGAGCCTATAGGGTTAAAACCACCATCTAGCCTCCCTGGGCCCCTCATGCCTCCCTAAATATAGTAAATCTAACTTGTATTCAAGTCTGGAGCTGCTTACTTTGTTCCTGTTTCCTTTTGACCTGCCCACTGCCTGCAGACATAAGCAGAAGTGGTAGCCTGATCCAATCACAATGCTTCCCTATAGGATTGGCTGAGACTGACAAAGAGGCAGACCAGGGGCAGAGCCAGCACAAGTCAAACACAGCCCTGGCCAATCAGCATCTCCTCATAGAGATTAATTGAATCAATGCATCTCTATGAGGAAAGTTCAGTGTCTGCATGCAGAGGGAGGAGATACTGAATGTTTGGATGCATTTTTGGCAGCCATGACCCAGGAAGGATCTCTAACAGCTATCTAATGAGTGGCCAGTGAAGATATCACTAGGCTGTAATGTAAACACTGCATTTTCTCTGAAAAGACAGTGTTTACAGCAAAAAGCCTGAAGGTAATGATTTCACTCACCAGAACAAATTCAATAAGCTGTAGTTGTTCTGGTGACTATAGTGTCCCTTTAGTATACCATTCATGCATATGCTGTTTTATATCTCTCTACTGAATGATAGATGGTTATTCCGCCTTGGAATATCCCTTTAATTAATCATAAGGCTTGTACCCAATGTGAAGTAGATTATTCCATGCACTGTCCTGGGGTCATATTTGGCAGAACAATATTAATGATTTCTCTGGCAGCCTTTTCTTTGCAGGCTGGTTTCCAAAATAATCTTTCATTCAGGTAATCGAGTAACAGGTTATCTTTAAACCTGTAAATATACTTTTGTATTCAGCCCTTCAATAATTATTTAAAGGGAAGGGAATCAAGGGAGTTGTTAATCCAGGAAGCCACTAAATTGTCAGGAAAGGGGATAAACTTGCTGTGTAAACTAGTTTGGAACTTTGCCTTTTATCTGACAAGTTAACAAACAGAAGCTGCAACTCTTGCAAGAAAATACGTGATAGGTAAACTGAGCTTGAAAACTACAAAATTATTATATTTTTGAATTATAGCTTTGTCTTTTTATCTTAAGTACGTCTTTAGACAGTAAGTAGGTTTTCCTTGGAATTCTAAAAATTTTTTTTTTTTAGTAAATTACCCAGTATTTCTTGCAAACTGAGTGATTTGGACATAATGTAATAACAAATAATCCCCTGCGCACTGCTTTCGTTATCTCACTCGCTGCAAAGAAATTCTGTCCACAAACATACGCATGTAACTTGCCCAGAGAATATAAACGCCTCCCTGCTCTGCGTCAGGCAATCAGACCAGATGACTAGATTTAGTCACTATTTCATAAAAACACTGTCTGCTGAGATAGCACCCAGCATTAATGATTAACCTGGCAAAATACATGTAAATCTTTGTACAAACGTTAAAACGTTATCCGCAGTAACTTATTTATGGGAAGTAGTAAACAAATATTTATCATTGAATTTAGCAGCTGCGGTTTGACCTATTTTTGCTTGCACTCATCAGGTGACAGCAGAGTGAGAATTTAAAAACTAGAATAACCACTTCAAAGTCCACAGCACATGGCAGGCCAGAGTGTGCTGCACATAAGTTAACCATTTATTCACAGTTACAATAATAATGTATGGTATATAACAGTGCTTCTAAACCTTCTTGGGGCACTTTGGGCAGCGAAGTGAATGGCTATGGGAGTTACAAAGGTCACCCTTTTGAATGGTAAAACCTTTCTTGGGTAATTGCATTAAGAACGTTACTTATATAAGCTTGCAATTGTATACAGTGTAGAGTCCTCCAAGTATAAAAGTGAAACACGCTATATCAGCATTTAAAGGGACATTATAGGCACCCAGACAACGTACTCTCAAAGAATCCTTGAGGATATCAGCCAAACCAATAATTTCCCATTTAAAACCATTGGGAGACCAGTGCACATGTGCAGCAAAATGCTGTGCCAATCAAATGATTTCAGAAATTTCAGACAATTTTTTAATTGTTTGAGGAAGAGCATTTACACACTACAATGCAAGCATTGGTGTTTCTATAGTATAGAAATGTTTCACACTGCAAGGTTAAGCAGTCAGGGACGTGGCACTAAAACCTCTGGGTGCCTATAGTGTCAGAAAATAAATATTGTTACTAACAACACAGATGACAGACAGTCCAATCTAGTGTTGTGTATTTATTTTCTACTCTTTAATTCTAGATTTTGAACTTTGCCAAATAAAAGAAGCTAAAAAAAAAAAAACTAAAAACATTTCTCTCTAAACAAACTCTTAATTCCAAAGTCTACATAGTCATTAGGAAAAACACATGGCACAAGAAAATATTATTTTAATCTTTCGTCTGTGAGGAGAGAGAGAAAGAGAGTGTGTGTGTGTGTGCCCATAATGACTGTGTTGGGAACGTATATATTATTATTATTTTATTATTTATATAGCGCCATCAGATTCCGTAGCGCTGTACAAAGGGTGGACTAACAGACTATCAATTGTAACCAGACAACTGGACGTACAGGAACAGAGAGGTGGAGGGCCCTGCTCAATGAGCTATGAGTGATATTTACAGGAGGAAAATGTATATAATAAATGTATGTCCAGCAGTATAGAATCATATTTATCAAGTGTCCCTATTTAGGAGGGGCAGCCCCTATTTTAACCCCAAATCCCTCTGTCCCTATTTTATATCCTAATGTACCTCTTCTCAAGGAGCTCCATATTTGGTGTGTGGTAGCAGAGCTCCAGAGAAATACTACTCAGAGTAATGTGTCTTTCAACTACCGTACATTAAATCAGTCTGTGTAAGAAGATAAATTCTTCCTGCTCTAAATTACATTTTAGCTGTTTGTTATTACTAAACTTTCTCAGAACAGTCCAGCCCCCAGACCACACCTCCATTCAGACCTCTATATGTAAAGGAGATGAGTTATTTTCATCTAAAAGGTAGATGTTGGAGAGTGTTGTGGACCTACTAACGCACAGTTCTGGGTTTATTAGGATCATAAAATAGCGTTGATAATGAGAAGTTAGAAAGTTCTAATTTAGCCTTATATACCACTGAATGCTAATAAACAGGCCCGGACTGGCCATGCCCAAATGCCCGGTGTGCCGCGATGGCCATGGGCTGGGGGTGACGGGAGATTAAACGATCACCCAGGCCGGCCCCTGTAGGGCTGGTGCTGCCTGAACTCCGGCCCATAGAGGGAGCTTTCTGCAGTGGGGAGATCAAAGATCTCTTTCACCAGCCTGCACACTGATGCACAGAGCAAGCCCTGTGCACATGGTCTACACCTGTCAAGGGGTGTAGACTAGACGCTTCTTCCACTGGACCACCAGGGAAAATAATTCCTCCCCAGCATCTTCTCCTGCCAAGGATCAAGGTAAGGATGAGGGATGGGGGAGTATGTAAGTTGGTTTTGCCCCATGTCTCCCTTTCTCATCCAGAAGTCCCAGCCTCTCCCTCTCTTACACCTTGCAGCCCCGCTCCCCTCTCACCAAGAAGCCCCACGTCCCCTCTCACACCCTGCAGCCCGTCTTCCTCTCTCACCCTGCAGCGCCTGTCTTCTCCTCTCACCCTGCAGCCCCTGCCTCTCTCTAACACTGCAGCCCCTGTCCCACTCTTATCCTGCAGCAACATGTCTCCTCTCATATGCTGCAGCCCCTGTCTCCCCCTCCCACCCAGCAACCTCTGTCCCCCCCACCCAGCACCCGTCTTCCCTTCTCAGCTTGCAGCCCCATGTCCCCTCTCATATCCAGCATCCACCTTTTATACTCTGCATCCCCTGTCTCCCCCTCTCATACCCTGCATCATTTATTTAATCCTCAAACCCAGAAGCTTCTGTCCCGCCACCCAGCACTTCCACCAAGACTCCCCCTCTCCACCTCTCACCCAGCAGTCACTGCCCTCCCTCTCATACCCTGTATCCCATTTCCACCTCTCACACAGCAGCCCGTGCCATCCACCTGCAGCCACTGTCCCCACCTCTCACCCAGCAGCCACTGTCCCCACCTCTAATGTAGCAGCCACTGCCCCCCTCACCCAGCAGCCCCTGCAACCCCTCTCACCCAGCAGCCCCTGCAACCCCTCTCACCCAGCAGCCCAATGTCCTCCCTCTCACCCTCAGCAGCCTAATATCCCCCTCTCACACAGCAGCCCCATGTCCCCTCTCACACCCTGCAGCCCCTTTCTTCATCCCACCCAGAAGCCCCATTACACCATCTCTAACCCTGCAGCCCCATGTCCCCTTCCAACTCCCTGCAGCCCCATGTCCCCTTCTCACACCATGGAGCCGCATGTCCCCTTCTCACACCATGGAGCCCCATTTCCCCCTTCCACACTCTTGATCTCTCATTCTGGGCTCACACAACATCCACTATTGTCTCCCCCTCACACACACATCACCTATCAGCACCACGCTATACGTGGACTGCCCTGAGGGGTATTAAACAAATGTGCCCACTTTGGAGAGGCATGAATGTTATTGGTGATAACACAACATGCACACTCTTGGGCCATCCCCCCTCCGAGGGCTGCTCTGCCTTTAAATGCCCGGGCTGAATTTTTGTCCCAGTCTGGCCCTGCTTACAAATAATCTATGAAACTATCTATCAATTTCTTAGTTAATACAATGCTAAACAAAAATCTGCACACCAGTCAAGCCATGAGACTTGCTTTTCCCACAGAAATCTATTAAATATCTATTTCTATTATTTATGAATTTTAGTCTTAGAAAACAGTGTGTGCTCTCATATTCTCGCTGTGAAATAACCGACTTATTCCCCACGGGAGTTTTTTATATATTGTTTTCCTGGCATCATCATGAGTCATGCAGTTCTCCCACTATCATTGTTTCATGTCAGGAAATAAACTGTGCTATTGTTCACGACATCATTTCCCTTCTGCACAGTACGACCAACAAGTTTAGAAAACTTCAAGGGAACTGGACTTAAGTTTTGTGAACTGAGAGGAATATTGTGGGTTATGTATAAAAAGTGGCTGTTTTTTGCACTATGAGCGAGATTTACACACTTGGCCAGCATCTGGATTCCTTGTTGGTGTATTGCGCCACTACGCCCTCATTCCGCCTTTTTCTACTCTCTTCCTTGTTTTATTCCTTTTACGGATGTTCATACATTAAAAGAAAAAACTTATTTTCGGAGTTTAGGGTATGCTCTGTGTCAAAAACATGACTGTGGGCAATGTACTTATTAACATTTTCCCACAGATGTATACAATTGCTTTGTGTAAGGTTGATGTATACGATTGTCTCTATGTTCATTGTACACCACATTTGTATTGGTTGCCTCTTTAAAAAATGTTTTTTTTTTAAAAATGTATGTATATATATATATATATATATATATATATATATATATTCTGTTCTGAAAAAGGGGAGAAGTTTGTGATGCAAAATGTCTGCTAGTTCCAGTGTGACTTCTGGTTGCGTGGGTTTCCATGGTGACTGCCCAACTTTTAGAACACTTTGCAGAACACTACTTTTTATACAAAACCCCAATTGTTTCTATTTCTCCCCCTCTGTGCTAACAGGTGTAAATAACAAGGATTGACAGGGAGACAAGATGGAGGCACTATGTCCCAGGATAAAGGAAAAGTCAATGGTGTAGATATCTACATTTAATTTCCAGGCCTCACAGACATATTTATTAAATATAGGGGTATAATAATGATAATATGTTTGAATTTGGGCTACTAAGTGGTTTAAATATATTTTATTGATAATTGTTTTTGGGGGGGTTTTTGCTCGGTGTCCTACAAAATTTTCTATCCTTCAAGTAAAGAGTTTTTTATGCAACAATATGAAACGTGTGAATATATTTGTTCATGAAAGGGTAAAAAATACAGAGGCACTTTTTCTTTAAGAGGTTTAGCCCATTTGACTTGCAGCTCTTGTTTCAAATGAAAATTGGAACAGATTCAACAATTCCTACAGGCTGGAGATTCTACTGCAAGGAGAAATGTAAAATAAAACCTAAACATATGGTTACTCAACAGCTGTCTGCACATGCTTCAACTTCCTGCAACACACAAAAGCAACAACACATGACCGTCTAATGTGAACTGGTAATAATGGAAGCTGTAGGTCACCAATCTGTTAGCTGCTGTCTGAATTTATAAAATTAAACAAATTCACTGTTAGTAGTATAACAAATAGTGTTCATTTTTTCTCACCAAAACCATAAATATCAAAAGTTTAATATCAGACACTTAAAGGGAAATCTCACTTAAGATTTGCTTATCCAGAAATACATAAGGTCCAAATGGAATCTTGGGGCACAAGGCTCTCTCCCAGAGTAATCTGTAAACCATTTTATTTTGGTGTAATAACTTACCTGGATCCTTCATGTGCCTGCGAGGTGTCTGGACTGAACGCACTCATAGGCCTTAAGTACTCGGCTGACACTCTCTACCAATGAGCATGGCCCTCCACAGCCCTGCTTAGCACAGTGATGCAGCGACAGACGATAGCACCCAGTGAGATCCACGTGAGTTTCCAAAGCGTTCTAAAAACTTTGAGTAATTACTTCCGGAAGCTGCCAGGGCACATAGGCACATAACCACTACAGTTGGGCTATAGTGGTTATGGTCCTTGGAGTATTCCTTTAAAATGTTTCAAAATGTTGAATTTTTTACCAGTGCAGTACCATTACAGTAATGTTCATTATTGTGTAATTTTTAATATCACTGCTAAAGTTAGGGAGCTACTATTGTGTATGAAACCATCTCCATGCAGATCCTAAACACTAAACCAAACACTATTATTTAACAGTTCCTACATAACGCTCGTATGTATATTATAGATATATTAGTATTACAGGGGGAAAAGAATACACACTGAAACAAAAGGAGAAGAGAACCCTGCCCATTAGTTTACAATCTAGAGTCCACAGGTTTGTTTTTTTCAGGTTTCTTATTCAATGTTTAAAGTGAGTAATCTGTATAATGTATTATTTTCATTGGATCTGACTATTCAAATATAATTTTGAAGATCTAATTATTGCACATTGGTTTTCAATTGTGCACGATACACTTTCTGAAACTAAACTATTACTTTACAGAACTCAATTAACTTTAAATTTCACTTATTCTTCTGAGTCTATTTAGTTCATGCGGTCACTAAGGCAGCCACATCCAAATGCTAGGCCACCAGTGTGTGTTTTCAGTTAATACGTCTTATTAGGCAGGCCACATGCAAACACAAAGGAGAATGGTGGTGACTGTATATGACAAGGCACTGGCCACATTATAGCCTCGATAACTGATACTTTTATGCTTTTTGAGGGCCAATAATGTGCAGAAATCATTGTGAATCCCTACAACACTCAAGAAGTTAATAGTACTTCTAGATTGTCAAAAAATTCTGACAAAGCAAAACTATAGGCCCGTTAAAACAATAGTCTGTAACAGATTGTGTGCCTTTAACAAACTTCTTTGTAATGATCACCCAAGTTTGTGAAAATATATATTAGGGGGTTTGTGTGGTGCCTCTTTAAAATGTATCCAGAATCAGTAATTCTACAAAAGCACTTTTGTGTATGCTACATTTCAATAATTTTAGGGTCAGTGCATAATACAAACAGTTTGCAAGTAAGATGAGCAAGTGGGTTGAAAACCCCATCTAAGGACAAAGTGCTGTGAGTGTGCACTCAGGAGAATAGCTGCTAAGAACAAAGAATATGGCAGCCTGGTTTAACCCTATAAGTGCAGATCCTGTCTTATACTGTTCACTGCCACATGCTACTCGAGAAAGAACAATGAAGCCAGCTGTACCACCAGCCAGTGGACACATTTAGTTAATGTATCAGCCTGACAACTCAAAAGCTGAAAAGCAACAACAAAGAGAGATTGTGGCCAGCTGAGGAAATGTGGGGCCGACCAAACAATCTCACAGTCACCATTTTCCATTCTAGTTATATTTATTAACCATCAGTTGATGGCCACATTGTAAACAGGCCAGACAAGTTCATCTAACTCGGGACAGATATAGTTAACCAACTTCTCTTGTGTGAGGAAAGCAATGAAAAAAAAGTATGTCAGAACAAAGAAAATGTCACAATGCTGAGGACTAAGCTTGTAATTCCATAACAAATCTGCTTAATAGAACTAATGTTGCTAGAAGGGAAAAGCAGTCCAGACATTTATTATCCCAGGAGTCTGAACTTTGTATGTCTGAAAGCAGTGTGGATAGGGAACAAGCTGTTTCTACTTGTTGGACTGCAACTCCCATTACTATTATTTGAAGCTGTCAGTTTTTTTTTGTTTGTTTTTTTAATTTAGGCATAATATCGACCTTGATGTAAAAGATAACAACTGAAACTTGATAATATTGGCAAAGTATTATTAATAGCACCATTTATACAAACAAATAATAATCGTGGACATAAAACCAGCAATACTATGACAACGTTTATTCTTTATTCGGTTAAAATATAAATGATAGAGATTACAGTAAATTAACCCATTCTATCACCGTGCATGAATCACTTCATGTGCTATCTTATAATGGTGCAAGGCTGACAGGCTGATGAATGTTACACTTACATATGGCCGCAACGTGTCCTCACTGGTTGGTCCAACACCTGCAGGCAGACTGCACAAGTGAAGTTGGGATCAGGATCTTCAGCAGGAATGACCTGGGAGTTGGCATCCCTGTTCTCTTCATTGTTGAAGACAGACAGCTTGATACCCATATTAGACCTGAAGAAAGATCCTTCCTGAGGATGAAACGAATACAAAGAGGCAGCTGCGAGCCTGCTATCACTGATGGAGAAAGTAATCTTTTTAAAGTGTTGCCCAGAGTTCTAAAGTGAAGAGGTTGCTGGAAACAGCTCGGGTTACAGTTCCATGCGCTTGTGATGCTCTGGCCAATAGTCGACGACGTGTCCTATTGTTAGGAAGCAGCATGTGCTTAGTGCCAGGACTACAGCTAAAGTAAACAGCAGGGCTGGTAATAGGAGACAGGAGTGAGGCAGTCTGATGGGCCCCCTCCTTCTGTCCAAAGATGGGCTTGTTGCTAACTGATACTAAAGAGAACAAGGAGGAGCTAATTGTTCCAATCCTTCCAGCAACAAGAGTTTTGCAGTGTGATCTGAGCATATAGTACAAAGGAGGGAGGGTGGAAACTTTTGTCTTGGAGGCAAGTACAAATGAATGCTGCATTTTGCGAGCAAACCAACCTACTGTCCCGCCCCTTCCTATTTCTGAGATTGTGGACTACCAGCCCAAGTGTTGCATATGAACCCAGAAAACTCTGGACTGGCAGTTTTGGCCCTTGACAATTGCAATCTGCCAGTTCTTGCATGCAGTGCTATGCCAACAGACAGCCCAGTGCACCTCCTGCTGCATTTAATTATCCAGAATGGTGCTGTGAGGCTGGAGATCGTAATCTCGTTTTTGCAAGGCTCTCTTCACCCACTGTTCCTGTATGTTTTGTTAAAATTAAACGTTTGTCTTGTTTACCCATTGTACAGCGCTGCAGAATATGTTGGCACCATTAAAATAATATTTGCAATTGTTGTTCACAAATGCATGCTTGTTGCCAGGAAGCAACAGCCTCTCTGCTATTCCTTTACTGATTATATTTCTATGTTGCTTTTAGAGTTCAATAGAAGGCCTAAATAACCTCCCAACTGTGCTGATTTCAGCAGAACAGTAACAATTTTCAGGACTTGTCTTGCAGTGTCCCACTTAGTTACCCGGTGTCCTGCGTTTGGGGGCTCAGTGGGCTGGCTTTACATGACTGGCATGCATTCCAGCGTGCATTCCTGCCAGGCTGACTGGTTAGTAATTCCTTTTGCCGTAGTCCCCTTTAGCCCATTACCTCCGGTGTCCTGCTGCATAGAACGAGTAAAACTTCACATAGGAATGCACGGGTACTTTTCACGGCCAAGTCCTGGCCCCCCAAAGGGGCAGTTGGAAGATCGAGGTGACAACCGCCGCCAGCAATATGCGACCTTCCTCCTGTGTGGTGGATGTCTCTAGGTCATGCCTCTGTTGGCTTTTGGCCTAGGCCCACAGTCGTTGGTGTGGATAAGCTTTTGGGTGGTTGCGCTGCCCAGGTGTCCCTCCCGTCGCTGTCCTAGAGCTTCACTCCGTCCTCTGTTTGGACCGGATGACAGTGGAACGTGCCTGCAGCTTGTCCCAGAAGGCCTGGAATAGTGCGTCCAGCCTGGATTCAATGGTGCCTTGGTTGGGCAGTTGTGGCTGACTGAAGGTGTATGATGCTTGAAGAAGGGCCTCCGCCATCTTTTGTGGTCTGGGCACCGTTAGGTGTCTGCTGTGAGTGGTATGCTGATGCAGCAGGGAGAGTGTTAGACCGTTCACCCAGTGGGGACCGGGATAACCCACACTGTTCCGGAGGGGGGAGGTAGGAGACCAGCAGATTCGCTTGGTGAGTCCGGTGTAAGGGAGAGCGGCCGCCTCTATCCAGCTCCAACTCTAGTAGGCCGTACGTGGTGTTCCGGTGTCACTCGAGTCAGCAGTGCACCCACGACGTGGGTAGTGCATCCCGGTAAGTCTTGTGGCTATGTAGCCGCCGATTATACCCCAAAATCTGCCCTCCAAGCGAGAATTCGTACTGCCCATGTATGCATAACTCCGCCTCAGCAAGGTTAATTATTCGTGTAGGACCACCTAAGAGGTTTGCCTTGATGTGGCAGGTGGGCTTGCATCTAATGGCTTTTGGAGTGGAACTAAAAATCTCAATTTATATAACTATGCACAGGGATTTGGAATAGTGCGCAAGTAACTTTCTTCATTGCTGCCGCCCAAGAGTAGTGGGAGTTCAAGCGCAGGACTTATTTTTGTGTATTTGTATTTACTATACTTTAAGTCCATATTCATTATTTAACTGTAACTTGAATTTATTTTGGTAAACAGCTTGTATCAAAAACTTGTGTCAAAGTCCAAATATTTCTGGATCTAACTATATATATATATATATATATATATATATGTTGGAAGGCCATTTGGCCTGTATTTGTGGGAGGAGTTTTGATCCTATATAAACCCTACCCCCCCCTACTTACCTTTGTTGTGCAAGCTGTTTGTCTCCATAGTTACCTGCACTTCCGGTCGTTGTTCCTGCTAGTCCTGCCTTGAACAAATACTCTGTCTTCAGCAGCTCCTGCCGCCGACATCTGTGCTCGTCCACCGGCTACCCCGCTGTATTCCTTACTCGTTACCCGGCGTTCTTGCTTCCGGTCACAGGACCGGCACGCACACGTAAGCATCAACCTGGGAAATAGCGTTCGGCTATTTCCCACGTTCGAGCCTAAAAATGCAGGGATAGGCTCCCTATATTACTTACCTGTTCGTATAATTCTGCTGTTCGTGTACTTCTGCGTTCGTGCGGCTGTTAGCCGACCGCAGAGTACACACTCGTTCGTTTTTCTTTTGTTAGTATTAAATACCGACCGCTTAAACTCACCTACGTTCGCCTGTTTCTTACATATGTTCATTAGCCGAAACACGTACGAATGGCTGTTTTACTAGCTTTTAGTTTGTCCTAATTTATCACATGCGGTTCTGTTATATCCCTCTTGCACTTTCATTAACCGTACGCATGAGGTTTTATGCAGTTATTTGTATAATTTTAAGTATGTTCCTCAAATTCGTTCCTTTTATAAAACATATGTACACAGTTCTCCCTATGTTTTCCTTAATTCAGAGTGTCACTATTCCTCACCCATAGTCACATTTAATTATGCATAAATTCCCAGGGGCATTCTCTTAAAGACACAGTTGGCCCCCTTACGCTTTTTTGATGTCAACAGGTCAAGCCAATCAAACCGCTTAAATTTATCCAGCTCCACGCTCAATTTGTTCATTAGCTTTCATTTCTAAAACCTCTGTTTATATAAAAAACACTATACTCTGGTTCCTTATTTTTAAATAATGAACGTGTTTTAGGTTCTTCTACTCTTCTTCAAGAAAACTCCAGGAGGTGGTACCAGTATCCCGTCTCACGGTATCAGGTATAAAAAGGTTAACATTATTACGTTTCTCCTGAGGCCTCATTCAGCCTCCACAGCCTTTTTTACTATACCCTCCCTTCTCCTTCAGTGGGTTCTAACTTCAAACACACCAGGTCTAAAGATGCCTCACCCTCCATGTTACTATTATATTAATGTGTTAAATTTGTTTATCATTTCTAATTATCATTACTTAGACCTGCACCATGTCGCAGATTCACTACGCCATCAACAAACCAACAGGCTACCTGGTCCCTGACGTTTCAGTATCAGGTATCATTAATCTTACTCACTACGATTACGTTCCTTCTAAGGCCTCACTTTGCCTTCGTATCTTTCACAAGTAATCCACATTTGTGGGAATCCAGGGGCTTGTCTCAAAATATTTAGACCAACGTTCAGGTCCCTCAGCTTACACTGGTTCTTACGCTACAGTTTCACTGTTACACTCCTTTCCATACGTTCTACATTTTTACACTTCGCATACCAGTGGCACGCCTCAGGCCTGCTAGCATCCTTTTACCCCTAGATTCCTGGACTGGACCTGTTCTTTGCAGTATATATATATATTTATACATATATATTAAAGTCGCCCTGAGCATTGTCTAAATATACAGGACAAACACTCAAGGTCAGTATCTACATACGTTACATACTTCCTTTCTAGAGACAAGCCCGTCAGGTTAGAGAACTGGCTTTCAGGGTTAGGCGCTGGCCCTAGCTTTCCCAAATAATACTGCAGTCCGCGAGATCTACACCCCCACCTAATACATGGAGGTTCAGCCCCATGACCAAATCATAGCTAGCCACCTCGCTTACTCTTCTTTGGGCTACAGTTAGGGCTTCCCAAGTCACGGCCACACGTTTTGAATCTCTTACTGTCACCGAGAGGCCAACATCCTGCCACCTTGTTCTGGTGGCCACAAAACCCCCTTGGCCCAAATCATAGGTAGAGCCTCTCACCGCCACTTGGCAATAGCAGGGCCTCATCTGTCACTTGGTCCTAGGTTAATTCTTCGCCTCGGCACTAGCTAGCAGGCCAGTTCTCCGGAGGTCTCATCCCCACCTCTACGACAACTTACTTATCCAAATCATTACTTCTTTTCAGAATGTCACAAGAATCCATCCCAATAATCTGTCTACTGTTGGACGAAATACCCAGCACACCAGTCAAGCCTGGGTCTCCGAAGGAATCTCTCACCCTTTCTTTGTTCGTTCCCTTCTTTGTTCGTTCTATACATCCATACCCCTCATACAGCCCTATTTTGTCACCCAGCAGCTCAGGACTAACATTAAGCACGCTGCCTTCCACTACAATACCTCTACACATGGCCCTCACCAAGCCTTCACTCCATACGTTTACACATGGCCCACTACGGGCACTATGGCAATACCGGCCCCTCATTTGGGCAGTTACTTTCGTCAATTTCTGCCCCACATTTGGGCAATTACATACGTCTAATTTCTAATATACGAGGGATTAAGAATACAACCTTTCATACTACATTCCTAATATTACGCACGACCTCGTTAGGCCCACACATGTCTTTTCCCTCTCTCGGCACACACCCGAGAACCCGGTACCTATCACTATGCTTTTAACATATCCAGGCTTCTTGGGTCTGTCACAAATTTAACTGTTTAGTCCCTCTTACCACTCCATCCCACGCACTAGACTGGGAGGCGGGCAGAAGGACAAGCAGGGCTGACCATTAATTTCCGGGCAAAGCGCGGGCGAGCTATGACTTTAATGCTGGGGTATGCTATTTTCACTACATACAGGGTATCACACATCCGCTTCATCTGCTCCAGAACTCACACCTAGTCCACATATACAACACGTCTGTCACCCAAGATACGCCTAACTAGGTCAACATTGACATCCTGGTATACTATCTGCATTTACACCCAGCTGGGCATATGGTAGATTCTGATGCCGGATTTCTCACAAAGGTCTCACACGGGCCTTGGCACCAACCCCACGGGTACACTTGTATGCCCTAACCTATTATCTACATCTATTGACCCACTTATGGTGGACCACCTTCTGTCCACAGCAATCATATGCTGGCTTCACGATCGGCCCTTTCCGGTCTTCACTTTTTCTCATCTTGGTGTACCATTCCCATTGGGGTAGCCATTCACAGTACCCAAATACGTTTGATCATAGACCTCTTCCGACCGCCCTCTGCAGAAACCCTCTGCTGGCCGCTCCTAAATATATTCAGGTGTCCATCAGTCATCCACGTTCTGGATAAATTTTTGTTGATTTCACAGGTTCACAAACACCTAACAGTATTCACACCACTACAGCCCTCCCCACCCCCCCCTTTTCAGTCGGTCCCTCTTCCAGGCTTGCTTTCTGAGGCATAGTATTGGACTCCACTACTTTCCAAGCCAGCCTCCCAGACGTTCTGTTACGCATTAGGAATGGATTTGTCCTGCTCCTGCGGAGTGTTGCGCACAATAGGAGGGGGCTTCAGTCCTGGTTTAGGCCCCTCAACTTCGTTGTGCGTATCATTCCGCAGGGTTGGTCTCTTGTCCCTGGGCTACTTAAATTTGCTCCACGAGGTACCAACCCCTGCCCAACCATTCGGGCGATCAAGCCAGGGCAGTTTTACACAATTGGAGTAGTTTTTCGGCAGCATGGATTGGGATCTCTTCGGTCATTCCCCCACTTTCAAAACACTCACTTTCAATTCACACAGACGCAGCAGCACACACAGGGTTCACAGCCTTTTTTCGGCAACCACTCGTTAGGGACGCCTGTCCCACTGAGTCGGATGCCTTTCCAGCCTTTGGAGAGACCTCTACTTAGGTGGACTCCCTCACTCTGGGTCATCTTTGGACCGGCAAGGCAGTGGAATGCTGCTCTGACGACTCCGCAGCCTGCAATTTCATTAGCAAGGGCGGTCATACTCACTGCCACTGTGGCTGATTCGGCAGACAGCAACCCCTCAGCGTTTTCTGGTCTACATTTACATTCCTGGTGTCCACTACACAGCCGCTGACACTCTCGCACGCTCTCATTTTAAGGTCTTCTTTCAGGCACTCCCTATGATCCACTACATGTCATCCGGGATACCACCATTCCATGAGCTAAATTTGGACTAAGCACACAATTACACCACGTACAGGTGTGCTCGCTTCACGCAGTTTCACGACTACTCTATCACTCAAGCCAGGGCCTTGTATATTGTACCTGTCACAGAGTTTGCTTTAATCAAGACTTTTGCAGTTAAATATGGTTATTTTTTGCCTCTTTCTCCAAACCTACAAATCAAGTAGGTTGATTACTTACTTAAACCTCCTATGCTGTCACTCCGCTTTACGTCTCCAAGGTCAACCACACACTATCAGTCCTAATCCACTACTTCACGTCTAAACCTTCCATTACGGTGGAGCTACATCATGGCTTCCTTCGCTGGCCTCTCTGTCACAAAGCGCTGCATCAGCAGCTTCAAGCTCTTACACCCCAGTCTACATCACTAAGTGTCGGGGCCACGGGCAATCCTCAGCGCAGTTACATATATACCTCAATCAGAGTAAAAGCTCCTTACAAGCTTTCAGTACCCATGCTGTATAAACTTACATAAAGTGTGTTTTCTTTGAATCCTCTTTTGCCCTCTTTTACAGGCCTACTCGTACGTTGGTTTCGGCACACCTCAACCAACTTTGCTTCTCCTTCTACATCCCATTACATATTAGAAAAATTCCGAACACAAATATAAATATATATATATATATATATATACACATACATACACACCCACACACACACAAAACTTTATATTCCTTACACCAAGCATGTCAAACTCAAAGTGTGGCACGTCCACATAAACAAGGTTTAAGTTTATGTGGACCACACACACACACACTCACTCACTGACAGACACACATAATTGCTGACAGACACACACAGACACACAGACAGAGACAGGCACACATACTCACTGACAGACACACACACTGACAGACAGACACATACTCGCTGACAGACACACCCACTCATTGAAGGACACACACTGACAGACAGACACATACTCGCTGACAGACACACCCACTCATTGAAGGACACACACATACTCACTGACAGACACACACATACTTGCTTACAGACACACACACACATACTTGCTGACATACACACACACACACACACACACTCACTGACTGACACACACACGCTTTGTGGGCCCTCTTTTACATACTTGCTCACTGACAGACACACACATACTTGCTGACAGACACACACACACTCACTGATAGACACACACATACTTGCCTACAGACACACACACACACTCATGGACAGACACACACATACTTGCTGACATACACACACACTCACTGACACACACAAGCTTTGTGTGCCCTCTTTTACATACTTGCTCACTGACAGACACACACATACTTGCTGACAGACACACACATACTCACTGACAGACACACTCATGGACAGACACACACACTCACTGACCGACATACACACTCACTGACCGACATACACACTCACTGACTGACACACACATGCTTTGTGGGCCCTCTTTTACATACTTGCTCACTGACAGACACACACATACTTGCTGACAGACACACACACACACTGATAGACACACACTTACACACACATACTTTTATTTATTGCTCCCTACCTTATGGAGACGATGTGGGGCCTCTCCCTGGGTTCCTTCCTGATCCTCACTGCTCCCGCGCACGATTTAGTGATGCCGGGTGCTGGAATATGACGTCATATTCCGGTGCCTGGCTTCACTTCAGACGGCGCGCGCAAGGGAGCAGTGAAGAGCAGGTACACTGAGCTCCCTCCCTGGCCCTCCTCCCCGGCCGGATAAGTGTCAAAAGAGCGATCACATGGTCACAATAGGTGTCCATGTGTCTGCCTGCAGGGGGACTGTCTGTGCTGACAGGCAGTCTCCATGCTAGTGTAAAATAAAAATAAAAATTAAAGTTAATGTTAATAAAAAAAATTATATATGTGTATGTATATAGCTATATAATATATATCATATATATATAATGTCATACTAAGTGTATTTTTATATTAATATGTACATATTAATATAAAAACACACTTATAATTAAATTACACATGTATATATATAATATATATAATAACTATATATATTGTATATATATTATAAAATACAAATAAGTAGATTAAATTAAATAAAAACATTTAAAATAATAAAAATTGAAAAAAATTATATATCTATATGAAATTTTTTTCTAACTGTATTTTGATATAAATATATATATATATATATATATTTATATCAAAATACACTTAGAATGAAATTGTATATATATCTATGTATATATAAATAAAAATAATACGAAATATACATATGGCCATATACAAACTTACATAAATAATTATATAAATATACACGTAGACTTCAAATATATAAATATGCATTTATATTTAAATTCTACGTGCGTGTTTATGTAATATTTTTACATAATTAAGTAATTTTATTAATTGCAATTTGAGGGACCTGCCTGCCAACCCAGGCGGAAGGTCCAGAGAATTTAATTGGCTAGCACTGTATTTTACCCTGTAACTTTCTATGACACCCTAAAACCTGTACATGGGGGGTACGGTTTTACTCGGGAGACTTCGCTGAACACAAATATTAGTGATTCAAAACAGTAAAACATATCACAGCGATGATATTGTCAGTGAAAGTGACTTTTTTTTGCATTTTTCACACACAAACAGCACTTTTACTGATGATAGAATTGTTGTGATACGTTTTCCTGTTTTGAAACACTAATATTTGTGTTCAGCAAAGTCTCCCGAGTATAACAGTACCCCCATGTACAGATTTTATAGCGTTTTTCAAAGTTACAGGGTCAAATATTTTTACATTGAAAATGGCCAGGTTGGTTACGTTGCCTTTGAGAGCGTATGGTAGCTCAGGAATGAGAATTACCCCCATGATGCCATACCATTTGCAAAAGTAGACAACCCAAGGTATTGCAAATGGGGTATGTCCAGTCATTTTTAGTAGCCACTTAGTCACAAACACTGGCCAAATATTAGTTTTTTGTTTTTTTCACACAAAAACAAATATGAACGCTAACTTTGGCCAGAGTTTGTGACTAAGTGGCTACTAAAAAAGACTAAACATACCCCACGTTCAATACCTTGGGTTGTCTACTGTTTCAAATGGTATGCCATTATGGGGGTAATTCTCATTCCTGGGTTACCACACCATCTCAAAAGGTAACATTACTAATCTGTCAAATTTCAATTTGAAAATGGAACGTTCTATATTTGACCCTGTAACTTTCCAAAACACCATAAAACCTGTTAATGGGGGGTACTGTTGTACTCGTGAGAAATCGCTGATTACAAATATGGACATTTTTTTTGCAGTAATACCTAACAGTATTATGACATTTACAGCTAAAATGTGAGGCGGAACTACAAATTTGTTTAAAATTTTTTCACAGTTTTTTAAATTTTATTCATAATAAATTATGTTTCATATATAAATATTTGATATGAAATGAAAGCCCTGTTTCTCCTGAACAAAATGATATATAATAAGTGTGGGTGCATTTAATATGAAAGAGGTGAATTACGGTTGAACAGACATATAGCGCAAATTCCAGTTTTTGTTTACGTTTTGATCAGAACGTGTACTATTGACTCCGTCCTGAAGGGGTTAAAGATTGTAATAGTTTTATATAAAAACAACTCACCCAGGCAAAAAATAATAGGGGTTTAATTACATTATATGATCATATATTGCATAAGCCTGCCACAACGTCAATATACCCCATTCTTGGCAGGTCCTACTCTATACTTTTTATATATATATGTGCCTGGTGCTGGTCAGGCACAAAATACAGAAAAAAATTAAAATGACCACACCCCAAGGACTTTTAACCATGTACTAGTTATAGCACAGCCTTGTTGTGTATATCAGGTACTAGTTATAGCACAGCCTTGTTGTGTATATCAGGTACTATTTATATCACAGCCTTGTTGTGTATATCAGGTACTATTTATATCACAGCCTTGTTGTGTATCAGATACTTGTTATATCACAGCCATGGTTTAGAGTTGGTACTAGTTATATCACAGCCTTGTTGTATGCCAGGTACTAGTTATATCACAGCCCTGGGTCAGAGTTTTCACTGGTTATATTACACAGGCGATATTATAGGTCAGGTACTTGTTATATCAAACCCTAGTTTAGAGTTAGTACGGGTTATATCAAAGCCCTAGTTTAGAGTTAGTACTAGTTATATCACAGCCCTGGTTTCGAGCTAGTACTAGTTATATCACAGCCTTGTTGTATATATCAGGTACTAGTTATATCACAGCCTTGTTGTGTATCAGATACTAGTTATATCACAGCCCTGGGTCAGAGTTGCCACTGGTTATATTACACAGACGATAGAGTTAGTACTAGTTATTTCACAGCCCTGATTTAGAGTAAGTACTAATTATATCAGAGCTGTAGTTTAGAGTTAGTACTAGTTATATCACAGCCCTAGTTTAGAGTTAGTACTAGTTATTTCACAGCCTTGTTGTGTATCAGATACTGGTTACATTAAAGCCCTGGTTTAGAGTTAGTACTAGTTATATCAGAGCCCTGGTTTTGAGTTAGTACTTGTTATATCACAGCCTTGGTGTATACCAGGTACTAGTTATATCAGAGCCTTGGTTTAGAGTTAGTACTAGTTATATCAGAGCCTTGGTTTAGAGTTAGTACTAGTTATATCAGAGCTCTGGTTTAGAGTTAGTACTAGTTATATCACAGCCCCGGTTTACAGTTAGTACTAGTTATATCAGAGCTCTGGTTTATAGTTAGTACTAGTTATATCAGAGCTCTGGTTTAGAGTTAGTACTTGTTATATCACAGCCTTGGTGTATACCAGGTACTAGTTATATCAGAGCCCTGGTTTAGAGTTAGTACTAGTTATATCAGAGCCCCAGTTTAGAGTTAGTACTAGTTATATCAGAGCTCTGGTTTAGAGTTAGTACTAGTTATATCACAGCCCCGGTTTACAGTTAGTACTAGTTATATCAGAGCTCTGGTTTATAGTTAGTACTAGTTATATCAGAGCTCTGGTTTAGAGTTAGTACTTGTTATATCACAGCCTTGGTGTATACCAGGTACTAGTTATATCAGAGCCCTGGTTTAGAGTTAGTACTAGTTATATCAGAGCCCCAGTTTAGAGTTAGTACTAGTTATATCAGAGCTCTGGTTTAGAGTTAGTACTAGTTATATCACAGCCCCGGTTTACAGTTAGTACTAGTTATATCAGAGCTCTGGTTTATAGTTAGTACTAGTTATATCAGAGCCCCGGTTTATAGTTAGTACTAGTTATATCAGAGCTCTGGCTAATAGTACTAGTTATATCAGAGCCCCGGTTTATAGTTAGTACTAGTTATATCACAGCCCCGGTTTATAGTTAGTACTAGTTATATCAGAGCCCCGGTTTAGAGTTAGTACTAGTTATATCAGAGCCCCGGTTTATAGTTAGTACTAGTTATATCAGAGCTCTGGCTAATAGTACTAGTTATATCAGAGCCCCGGTTTATAGTTAGTACTAGTTATATCACAGCCCCGGTTTATAGTTAGTACTAGTTATATCAGAGCCCCGGTTTAGAGTTAGTACTAGTTATATCAGAGCCCCGGTTTATAGTTAGTACTAGTTATATCAGAGCTCTGGCTAATAGTACTAGTTATATCAGAGCCCCGGTTTATAGTTAGTACTAGTTATATCACAGCCCCGGTTTATAGTTAGTACTAGTTATATCAGAGCCCTGGTTTAGAGTTAGTACTTGTTATATCACAGCCTTGGTGTATACCAGGTACTAGTTATATCACAGCCCCGGTTTATAGTTAGTACTAGTTATATCACAGCCCCGGTTTACAGTTAGTACTAGTTATATCAGAGCTCTGGTTTATAGTTAGTACTAGTTATATCAGAGCTCTAGCTAATAGTACTAGTTATATCACAGCCCCGGTTTATAGTCAGTACTAGTTATAGCACAGCCCCGGTTTACAGTTAGTACTAGTTGTGCAGTGTGTGGCAGGCTGGATACAGGCTGTAGTAGAAGCAGTAGTTCCTGTTCCTGCTGATCCCCAGCGCTGTGACGTAGCTGCTCCCTAGACTGGCAGGTTCTGTTCTCCAGCAGCCAAGCGGCCACGCGCTCCTTCCCTCTCCCTGCTGACAGGCGCGGAAGTCACGTGATCTCCCCGAACCGGCTGACGGGAGTGGGCGGAGTCTGTCAGGGAGGAGGAAGAGGCGGTGAGAGCCCTGAGTTGGAAATACCGGAGCGCTGCGGGATCCATTAACCGCACACAGCCGCAGCATTACCCCGCATTACCCCACGGAGAGGCCGGACTGACATGCTGGAGAGTGCGGGGCCGGCGCGGTGATCCGTGTCCCCGGTTTGTGGCGGCTCGCGGTGCGGTCAGTGCGGTGCGGGAGGCCGGCCGGGTGTTGAGGCCCAGGATGGCGCAGTGCCTGCTCTCCGTGTCCGAGTTCCTGCAGGGAGCGTTCATCCCTCAGGTGGCGGCTCTGTGCAGCGAGGAGGCGGATAAACTGTCCCGGAAAAACCAACTGACCTTCTGTGAGCTGGTCCGGCCATTCTGCAGACTGAGCACTGAGGGTGAGTGTACACTACCTGCACTGAGTGAGTGCGCCCTGCCATGCCCTGTCACTGAGTGAGTGCACCCTGCCATGCCCTGTCACTGAGTGAGTGCACCCTGCCATGCCCTGTCACTGAGTGAGTGCACCCTGCCATGCCCTGCCACTGAGTGCACCCTGCCATGCCCTGCCACTGAGTGAGTGCACCCTGCCATGCCCTGTCACTGAGTGAGTGCACCCTGCCATGCCCTGTCACTGAGTGAGTGCACCCTGCCATGCCCTGTCACTGAGTGAGTGCACCCTGACATGCCCTGTCACTGAGTGAGTGCACCCTGTCACTGAGTGAGTGCACCCTGCCATGCCCTGTCACTGAGTGACTGCACCCTGCCATGCCCTGTCACTGAGTGACTGCACCCTGCCATGCCCTGTCACTGAGTGACTGCACCCTGCCATGCCCTGTCACTGAGTGACTGCACCCTGCATGCCCTGACTGAGTGAGTGCACCCTGTGCACTGAGTGAGTGCACCCTGTCACTGAGTGAGTGCACCCTGCCATGCCCTGTCACTGAGTGACTGCACCCTGCCATGCCCTGTCACTGAGTGACTGCACCCTGCCATGCCCTGTCACTGAGTGACTGCACCCTGCCATGCCCTGTCACTGAGTGAGTGCACCCTGACATGCCCTGTCACTGAGTGAGTGCACCCTGCCATGCCCTGTCACTGAGTGAGTGCACCCTGCCATGCCCTGTCACTGAGTGAGTGCACCCTGACATGCCCTGTCACTGAGTGAGTGCACCCTGTCACTGAGTGAGTGCACCCTGCCATGCCCTGTCA